GTGTGTGTGTGTGTGTGTGTGTGTGTGTGTGAGAGAGAGAGAGAGAAGAGAGAGAGAGAGAGATGCATATATGGGAAGAGACTCAGTGTCCCACTGAGGCCCACCAGGTGTGTGTGTGTGTGTGTGTGTGATGCATATATGGGAAGAGACCCAGCGTCCCACTGAGGCCCACCTCGCTGCCCACAGATTTGGCAGTTCGGCCAGTGGATGGACGTGGTAGTGGATGACCGATTGCCCACCAAAAATAACAAGCTGACTTTCCTGCACTCCGCTGAGGCTACGGAGTTCTGGAGCGCACTGCTGGAGAAGGCCTATGCCAAGTGAGTCCCCGGAGCCAAGGAGAGGGGCTTGCCACTGTGCCCCCCCCCCCCCCCAGCAGATGACAGGTCTGGGGGCAGCTAGAATCAATGGAAGGGGCCGTAGTGCAGCGGTCGGTAGGGCAGCCCTCCTTGGCCCCCTGCCCCACCACCCCAAGGTCCCAGCTCCCACCCCCACCCCTCGCCCACAGGCTGAACGGATCCTACGAAGCACTAATAGGGGGCAGCACCGCGGAAGGCTTTGAGGACTTCACTGGGGGCGTGGCCCAGAGCTTCCAACTGCAGACGCCCTCCCAGAACCTGCGGAGGCTCATTAGGAAGGCCCTGGACCTGTCTTCTCTCATGGGCTGCTCCATCGAAGTAAGCCGAATCCCAGTGCCCTCGCACCAAGCCTGGTCCTGCCTCGAGGCCTTTGTACCGGCTACTGCTTTCACCCGCGGGTCCTTTACCAGATGTCAGCTCTGTATCGTCCACCTTCCTGCTCAAGGGCCTCTCTTTCCTCTCTCTCTCTCTCTCTCTCCGTCCAAATTAGATGTTGCACCCCATTTACTCTCGACTGGGCCCGGATTTTACTCCCCAACATTTATCATGACCTGAAATTATCCTGCTTACCTATATCCTTATTCCTGGCCCACCTTCTCCAAAAAGTTGTCACCTTGCAGGAGGGCAGTGAACTCCCTGGACGCCGGGGCCCGGGCTGGTACCTACACACAACAAGCTCCCCAAATCCAAACTCTGCCATGGAGTCCCTGCGGATCAGAGCCACCCTGTGGGTTTCTGAGATGGTCACTTTGGTGGGAGTAGAAAGCCTCGTCTTTGTCCTGCAGAGCCTCCAGTGGATTCAAACTGCCAGACTTGTGCACGCAGCCCCTACACGACCGCAGCAGATTCTCCACAAATGCGCTCTCAGATACACAAAAGAGCTGCCCACAGTGCGCTGAGGCAGTGACCCCTCAGAAATGAAGCCATGTTCTCGTGAAAGCCTGTACAAAATGTTCACAGCCGCTCACTCACAAGGATGAACAGTCGCGCACCCTGCGGTCCAGCCAGACCACAGGAGTCTGCTCAGCAGCCGAGAGGAAGCGGAGAGGGAAATGCAAACACCATCCTCACTGCAGCCGACGCCGGGCGGGTGCTGGCTCTGGAAGCCAGGGCAGAACGGCCCCTGTGGGTTTCCGAGAGCAGAGACCCCCCCCTCGCTGTTCTCCTGCAGAGAAGTGTGGGCGTATACCGCTGGGGAAACTTCGCCTGGGAACTTCAGAAATCACTTTTTACTCTTTTAAGTGTGACCTTTGGAGCTATGTGACGGCCCATGGGTAAAATTCTGGGCTACGCAGACTTGGACCAGAAGCTACCACGTACCCTCATCGTGCCTGTCCCTGACCTGGGAGCCAGACATTGTCTGTTTGTGAATGGAGGTGACGAGCCCCAACCAGTGAATCCGAGGCTCCTGCTTGTCCCTTGTTCCCGTGGCTCCTGGGGGCAGCTCAGAGAGCATTCAGGATGGGGTCGATGGCAGTGAGTCTGGGGGGAAATGACAGGCCCCCCCTTGACTCCTGCGGACAATGGGAGGTGTTCATCCCCCCACGCTGGTGGAGGAGTCCCTGGATGCCTGCAGAAGCTCACATGAGGGTCAGAGGGGTTCCATTTACAGGACATGTCTAAACTGGTAGACACTGAGAAGAGAGTAGCACCAAGGGTTGGGGTATTGGGGGTGGGGCTCAGATGTGGGTGTGGCTAGGAAAGGAAGGCCCGTGGTGCTGGAATGTTCTGGATCTTGACCAGTGCGGCGGGTGTGTGAACCTGCACGTGGGGCAGGAATGCACAGAACCCTATACCTGACCCTGAGGAAGACCAAGGAAGATGGACTGGGATTGGAGCTCCCGGGCTGCCGCCTGTACTTCCATTTACACTGTGGGCCGCAACCCCTTTGGGGGTCGGACGACCCTCTCACAAGGGTCGCCCACTTCATAAAAGCAGCAAAACGACAGTGATGACGTAGCAACGAAAATAATGTCATGGTCGGGGGGATCACCACCACAAGAGGGACTGTATTCAAGGGTCGTGGCATTAGGAAGGTTGACAACCGCCGATCTTAGCAAACCTGTCGGGGCGGGTCCATCAGCGCCTGGGGAATCCACACCAGTGCCCAAAAAGGAAGTCCGTCCGTCTGTTTGTTCTTCCCATGAGCCCTGAGAGCGGTCCCCTGTACCTGAGCAGACCCTGAGCCCCTCCCTCTGACCCCTGCAGATAGAAGACAGCGGCGAAGTCATGGAATCCATGACCAAGAGGAATCTGGTGCGAGGACACGCTTATTCAGTGACCGGCCTTTATGATGTGAGTCCTCACACCGCCTCCTGAGGGAGGAGAGCCCCCTCCTCACCCCCTGCCCCTGACCCATCACCTACACCCACACCCACACACACACACCCCTCCCCTGCACCCCGCAGGTCTTCCACCACGGTACCATGAAAACACTGATTCGTCTCCGGAACCCCTGGGGCCAAAAGGAGTGGACTGGGGCCTGGAGTGACAAGTAGGTGGCCAGCCCAGGGCTCGCTCTCGAGTGGGCCAAGGACACTGCAGGCCTGCGAAGCCGGAGCATGCCATGGTGGGCAGCGGGCCAGTCCCTGGCACCTAACTCGGGGCCCCAGCAGGCGGCATTCTGGGCTGAGGGGAATGGGGTGGGGGGAGGTGCTTGGTGGGGCTGCCTCATCTCCTGCCCCCTGCCCCTCTCCCTCCACTCCCACCCTCTGCCTCAGCTCCAGGGAGTGGTTTGAGGTGCCACCCGACATCCGGAAGCAGCTGTGGCAAAGGAAGGAGGATGGGGAGTTCTGGTCAGTGTGGCTCTGGTGACCCCCTCTTCTCCCACCCCGCCCCTCCCACCTGTCCCTTAGATGGGGCGGCACCACCCTGCCCCCTTCTGCCCCCCCCCACCACCAGGATGGCGTTCCAGGACTTCCAGAATAACTACACCCTGCTGGACATCTGCAACCTGACGCCGGACGCCTTCTCCGGGGACAGCAAGAGCTGCTGGCACACCTCCCACTATGAGGGCAGCTGGAGGCGGGGCAGCACCGCGGGCGGCTGCAGGGACTACATGGGTGCGTGAGCCAGGGAGGGGCCACCAAACCAGGCCCCCCCCCCACAGAGGAGGCGGGCCTGTGGCTGAGCCCGACCTGTCTGTCCACAGACACCTTCTGGGCCAACTCGCAGTTCAAGATCAGCCTCGTGGAGCGGGACGACCCGGAGGACAGCGAGGCCATGTGCACCTGCCTGGTGGCCCTGATGCAGAAGCACATGCGGCGGCGGCGGCGGTTCAGTGACCTGGAGACCATCGGCTTCGTCATCTTCTCGGTGGGCGTCCCCCTCCTCCGGCCACCCCCTCCCCAGACACCTGGGAGCGAAGGGGTCCCCCCACCGCCCCTCCTCCGGAGGGTTTCAGTTCTTCTCTTTGTTCTCCCGTCTCCCACATTTCAAAAACCTACGACGCATTGTCCCAGAGGCTGTTGTGATTGATGGCCCGCGCCAGGGGCGGTCACTTGCCCGAGTCCACCGAGCTCCCGATGAGGCGCACAGCCTGTGTTCTGACTGTACAGCCACCCTCCCTCCTGGAAGCCCCTTCGGATGCCCCCGCCCCAAGCTCCGGACACCCCCCACCCCACCCCCACCCAGGGTCAGGAGAAATCCCCAAGGAGCACTCCCGGAACCCGTGCTTCGAGAAATTCTGGAAGCAGCCACAGACGCATGCACTGAGTCAACAGGAATCTCGTTGGCTCTGTTGGCTCTTTGTTGTGGCGTGGCGGGGGGGGGGCGGATGGCTCACAGTTTTCTTGTTTCTAGTCTGAGCAGTCCCACCCTGCCTCCTCCCTGTGTCCCCCGGTTCCACCCCCTCGAGTGTCGTGTTTCATGCCACCCTTTCTCCCCCCCTCCTCCCGGGGGACCTTTGGATGTGACGCCTTGCAGAGGAGCTGGGAGTGTTCCGCTGGGCACCATCTAGCTCTTCCGTGTCTCAGGGTCCCGCTGGCTGAGGCTCTTGGGGCCCATTCTGTGGGTCTTTGACTTGCATCGCGCGTCTCTTCCCTGGGGACAGGGGGAGACCAAGAGTTGCCCCTAAATTATCTCGATGGTGGTCGCGAGCGTTGCATACCCCCGTCACCGCTCACCATGACAGGATGTGGAGCACTGGCTATGTGGACTAGATTGTGCCACTTGAGCCAGGGGTCCTCTGAGTCGATGGCCCCGAGCTCCCAGGTCCAACTGTGGCAGCAAAGCCCTGGCTGATTCAGGACTGACCAGGCAGCACCCTTGGAGGACTTGAAAGGGGAAATGGATTCGCTGCCAACCCAGAGGAACTGGCGCTCGGGAAAATCTGGGCCCCTGAATGGCGGGTGGGTGTAGCTTCTATGCTTTATCTGCACCAGGAGGTGAGCAGGATTACAGAGAGATTTCTAGTGCCATCGGGATTATTAGTGCAGGAGGAAGCGGGCCAGGGGTCAGGGGATGGGTGCTTCCTGGAATGAGGAAGTACATGGGTGGGTTTCTTTCCCAAGGGTTAAAATTCCCTCTTCTGATTTTCCTTACATGTCCCCTCTTTTGATGCCCACGTTCTGTGCTACTCGTGGGCACCACTTTCAGGGACCCCCTCTCGGTTGGGGTACACGAGGTACCGGGGCATGGAGGGGGCAGCTTTGGTATTGCGGCTGACAGTTGGGAGCTTGTGGTCAGTCCGTCCCCTGACCACAGGGTTTGCTTTTGATCTCCTAACTGCCAGTATCAGACATCCAGCCCCATCAAGTGGTGGTCCGGAAGATGTCTATCTGGGGAGCACGAGAGTGCAAGGATCCCCTTTCCACGTCTCCTTCTCCAGCACCCAGCCCTGTCCCCGTGAGGGTGTGTGCACACACAGGCAGCTGGGCAGTCAGATCCCCACAGTTGAGTCCTAGGCAGGCAGCAACCGTGCATCGAGGACAAACAACAGGGTCTCTGGAGACAGTACCCGCAAAGGCCAGTTGTGGAGCTGTGGGGACTATCAGCAGATTAAAGATCCAGAAGGAGAATGTCAAGCCCCTCAGGAAGGTGGACCATTCTTCAGGGGCAGTTTCAGTTAGTCCTAAGTGTGAGAGCGG